TCAGTAGTTGCTATCGATTCATGACGTTGAGTATGGTAATAGAATTCCGCTGTATTGTTTATTGCAATGATGCTGTGAGTTCCCTGAGCGATTATCATGCAACAAGAGTTAAATTATAAATGTACACAAGGATACGAGTGGCAGCAAATCGTCCACGCGTTATGCAATATAAGCAAGTTAATATTGAAACGTAAGGGGCTTAATGAATTGATGCTGTGTCAGAGACACAGAGATGGCATGTCTGATAGATATGATTTTCATTCCTACATATGCATGACCAATACAGATGGTTCAACCATACACACAGCATGAACATGCTTCTATTCAGGCCACGCCAATCCAATCTTCAACACTTTCATGACACTTTCATAATGAAACAGATGAACATTAAACCACCTTCATTGTTGCCCAATCACATGTTTAACCTTGGAGTCGATCGTTTGGTATAGTCTCCCGAAAATTTGTCAAAAATTTGTACAGCGGAATTAGCAAGCACTTTCAGAAGACACTTAAGATAATCAGACCTTGCCATTGGCTTTGTATGCACTAGCCTGAATTTAGACTCAGGGGCTATCTGCCTGCAAATGTTATCACTTAATGTCAATAAATACAACCCGGAGGGGAAAGCAAATGTTTCTAAAGCACAAAATCAAGTGAGCCTCCTGGTAATGCTCAAGCAGTGCACACTTAGCGATCCTAAGCGAATTTGGAGAAGGGAAACTGCAATTTAGCTCCAAAATACGCCCGTGACGTTATCAATTGGTGATAGAAAGTGTGCAATTCTTTAAGTACTAAATCTTGTCATGATTTTGTCATTTCATTTAATTTTGCATAAAGAGGAAATGTTACCTTTAAGGTAACGATTAAGTGAGTTAGTTCCCCTGTTTTGGTAAAAGAAACATTATAAACCTAATGTGGGTATCAGCTCCATATATAGTCATAAGATGAATTTTAACGATCCAATGGATGGCATTTATAAGAAGTCATTATGGATCCGGAATGGCCATACAATCTTAACAGCGCAATAGCAAAGGGGCGTTTGATAAAATGTATGAAAGCACTTACTATATTTACTTTGATATCGCAAAATATACAGTTAATTAAGATGTGTTCATATTTTGAAATCCATCGACTCTAAAATAAGATTACTTGCAATTTTCATGTACGATTCAAAATTGACCAATTGCACCATCAGATTTATGTTATCAAAGGAGTATATGGTGCAATTTGGGTATTTTGCAGTGCTTCATTGAGACTCACAAAATATCTTTCTCCTTTTTTGGAACAGGTCTGCTATTTAACCTCCATCCACCGATGTTACGTCGTCTCTATGATCGGCTCCAACTATTGAATTATATGATATTCACTTAATTTAAGATGTCGCCATTAATATCAAAACCGATTCAAGAACATGCAGCTGATGTAGCCAGTGTAATTAGAATACAAAATACAGCGAGCCGGTTGAATACAGAAGCAATCTCATCCTCTGCCACTGCTATCAGAAAGATAAGGTTTTGACCGTACTGTCTTTTTAAATGAAACAGCTTAGACGAGATAAATTGTAGCGGCGTCTTCTCTTCGTGTGAGAAAATCTATAAAATATAAATAATCGAAAAGGGGAATCGGATAGCGAGAACTTGAAAAAAAGTGCCTAAAAAAGTTGTGATCGATGTGTATTACATAACTTGATCTTCTTTACTTAATGAAATGAAATTCCATCGGTAGTTAAGAAAATCATCAAAAACACCAGCAAGGTGCAAGAAACTATTCTGACCAAAAAAACTTTAACTTAACTACCAAAAAAAAAACCGTGTGTTAAAGTGAGTAGAGAATATCAAGTTAGGATTTGGAGGTTATGGAGAAATGAGCACAACACCGTTGCAATAGTGTTTAATGAAAGTATTTCACACACCTTGTTTGTCTATTGTACCAGAATCTTATGTTTTATAATTGAACAAACTAGAAATCTATCTTCGACATCGTGTACTGCCTGTATCAGCGAATCAAAATGTCACGATCTCGATGTTTGTAATGTAATTTCTTTTTAAAAACGAAGGGGTCGAGGACAAGAGGGCCTTCATTTCATCATATTATTTTTGTACTAAACGGAATGAAATTTAATTCATAACTTTATGGGCAAACAAAGACATGGCAGAGAATAACATTCCATGTGGCAGAGGCAGAGAATAACATTCCATGTGGTGTCCACTCTGAACTAAAGACATATGTAGGCTTGCCAAAAATATTTGACCTGTACTTTTGTCGACTTCAGAGTTTCAATTCAGTCACAGACAGATAATGGATGATAAAAGCATATAAAACACCTCCCTCTAAAAAATACGCACTTTCAGCTTAACTCAAGAATTGCGTTCCAACCGATTCAAACGCTGAGAAGGATGGTTTAGGTTAATATATTTGATCGCAAAAGTAGAAGTCAGTAAGAAGAAATGTCTGTGCTGGACCAATGGTGCAAACCATCGATTTTTGCCTACGTGATGTGATAGAATCAGTAGCCTGATCGCTTCAAAAGTGAATTCAGTTTGTTGCCAAATGAAGTGCCAGTTTCAGGGAACCCAGAAAATGCAGACTACAAAAGTACGTCGTTAACCATGGTGCCCCAATATATTTTCTATCTGTGAACAGCTGCTAAGTCGGAATTTATAATGTCTTATAAAATTTGCATTTGTTTTGTGTTTGCCGCATTTTACAATTTGTAATTTATACCATTTCCATGAAGAATCCACTAACATTATAAAGAATCCAATAACATGATAATTGCGTGATTAAACACCGTGCGTTTGCAGACAACCTTATAAAATGTAAAGTTAGCCTAGAGTCCTTTGGTTCTACATAAAATAGAACTAAATATTATATAGATTTATTAACACAAAGAAGGAGCAGACAGCTATATTAAACGTGAAGACAACAAAGCACTTGACTCGTATTCCCGTGGTCAATTTGAACAAAGAGAATCGAGTCAGATCCGACTGCGGAGGGACAGCAAAGCACCATGTCCTTTTTTCCCGACTGGCCAATTTTCTTCAATTCCGTCAAAGGGAAACAACACTGTCATGTCGCACCACAGTATAGATACAGTATAGACTGAATACCAATGAAAGGCTACGGGTCAGTCACGATTCTGAAATAGTGTGATTAATCTATTCATAAGTTGCATTCCATGTCACCTTGATCTTAATTAACAAGATACAAAGTTTTAATTACTCCCCGACACGGGCCATCTCTTGCTGGCTAATTACTATGCAGGTCTTAAGGGAATGTGACAATTATTTCCTCTGTAGCTAAAAGCACTGTGATTAATCACAGTGGTCTGGAACGTGGATAGCGATAACCAATATAAATGAATTTACAAAAATCAAATCAGACAAAGTCGACTACAAACTGATCATCTTAAAGGAGTTTCAATGGACAATTAAGACTCAAACAAAGCCAGGATGAAAGGATAATATCTTGGGGCTTTTTTACCTCTTAAAAGTTAATTAATTTAAGTTAGTTCCACATGCCACACGAGGTAATGCTCTCATATTTTTAAGATACGGAGAATTGGATTAACGAAATACAACCATGGTAATTCGTATATATGCGACCATCTCTTGACGGTAGGTAAGACGCTCTGCTGTGGTTAGGGTTCCCTTGGGCACACTGCCATTTCACTCTCACGTGATTTATCTCTAAGACAATGCAACTACCCCATACTTAGGAACTGATAATGCAATCTCCCCATAACGTTGAGAAACAACGGGTGGCTTTTGTAATTGGATTTTTGCTAATTTTCAACATTTCAAGAAGGAACCGCAGTAACTTATTTTTGGAACTTTATATAATCACTTTATGAATTTGAATTTTGGTATCCGTACATTTAATAAAAACAAATTCCAAGTATCCAATCGCACTCTTCAACAGTGCCATAGAGAACTAAATATTCTTCTATGTATGCCTTTTTACAAAAGAAAATCATTGTCCACTTCAAAAGCCTTTCTCACTTGAATATGGCCATTGATATCGCCTGAAAATACTAAACTCATTAGACATGTAATATGAACGTTGTTTAAGATATAGGATTCATTTCCTTTGATTATTTACAACTGTTTTATGTATTTGTGCCTCATGTTGAGAAGTGAACATTGCTTCAACGTGTATATCGTTAGATGTATTTTCTAAAGTGAATTCGTTCTGCATGGAGTCTTATCAACACTGTAGCAAAAGAAGACACTGAAGATTGCACTGGCACATAATACTAGTTGACGGCCCGATGTTAGATTGATAGATCACCTCTTTGGCATGTGTTTTTTATGATATTAGCTGAAAAGCAAGAGGCATTGCGTATTTGAAAAGCTGGTGGCCATTTATCTTGTCATATACTTAGCATGTACAAGTATAATAAAACGAAACCCCACCACAGGCGTTTGGTAGCACATATACATTATTAAGCGTACAGAACCTTTGCTTCTTTATTTGACGCGACATTGGCTATCGTTAGAGCAATACATAGGTCTTATCAAAGACGCATCCAAGTTCAAAGCTTCTCGACTTTATCGCTGAATAAAATGTTCGGAAATATAATATCCTTCACAAGCAGAGTCTTCCTTTATTTCACTATGTGATGGGATTGGAAAAGCTATTAGATCGCGTCCCATGCGTGCTGTCTGGCGTTCTGCAATGGCCAGTCACTTTCAAGTAATTAACGCCATCGCCTGAATGCGACTTTGATTAATCAGTTTCAATTGTGGCCAGTGCGTTAATAAATTCATACTCAATCTGCAACGCGCAAGTCGTTTCCCTGTGGCGCGTCCTGCACTTATTAATGGCATCACGCTGTCATTAGAATATATTCGTCATTGGTCAATGCATCAGTTGTTTTAACATTATTGAACAAAACATTGCGCTAGTTGTGACCGTGTCGCAATCAGAAAGGAATGCGCCACTTTTCATGAAACCAGTGTCCCACGTGTGCTTTTTATTAAGAAGATCTCTTTGAAAAAACATTAAAAATTATGGTATAACAAAACAGGATATAAAGATGTATTAAAACAGTTTTAAATAATAATTCTTAAAATCTGTGTAACAACGTTTGAAGACTGAGTTGGCCTTCACAGTCATTTTAGTTGATGGTCAAAGTGCTACAGTCTTCACTGCTTTCTGAATTGAAACACGTTTACAGCCTGGTACACATTAAATGTTGACAACAACTATCACTCCGCTCAAATTAAGCAAATAATATTAACTGAAGCATATATATAAACAGCTTTTATCATTGCACTGATTAAAGACATGTACTAGCATCCCCTTTGTTCTCTATCACAGATATGCAGCTGTCGTTCGACATTTTTTGGTTTTTGTTCTAATACAAGATACCAATTATTATATAGATAGACATAAAATATGGAAAACAATCCGGGGCACTAGTCATGAAGGGCAGTTTTAAAACATGTGTTGCATGATATGCACTTGCCACTGTAATATCAACTTTTGCCCAAAAGTCTAAAAACAGTGAAAGCAAATGGGTTAAACGATGCCGTCCTACATGTGGAATCCGGTCAAGAAGTTTGACCTGTTGCTGAAAGAGGGCTATCGTCTTGTTTCTCGAGGGTGGAGAGTTTTCTGGTTTTCCCTGGTTGTTGCTTCGAAGGTGGCGGTTTGGGAGGCTTTTGTGTTCGGTTTTGTATCAGCTTCTTTCTGAATTGTTTTTCTTCTTCGAACAATAAGCTAAAAGTAGACATATATATATATATATATATATATATATATATATATATATATATATATCGAATCTGTACGTCAGTTTTTCTCTATAGTGTGAAAGACATTTGAAAGAACCAGTGAAATTAATAACATTTCGTGTGGATTTTTGCCCAATGCGATATACTGATTGGGGATTTGAGTAACATTTAGAAAAATATTTGATACAGAGTAAACTGATGGTTACCGTGACTTACACTAGATCGACTGTCTCATTCTTGGCCTCTATCTTATCAACTATTTGTTCCACCCCGCCTGATAACAAAGGGATGTTGATGCTCTGGAATAAAACATGGATCAATTTAAGGCAAGTTGAAAGATTGAACAATGAAGACATTTTAGATCACCCTACGTTTTTTTTAGTTAATCGAAGAGAATCCATCATGTCACAACAAGCATATTCTCCCACATGATTTTATAAGTACCCCGGTATGTACTTTTTTCGATGAGGCTAATTAGTGCTGATCAATAAGTGAGACACAACATAAGTCATGCTTACCGAAATCCCGTCTCGGAACTGTTGTTTGGTGACGTAAAGGTGGTCCCGTTTTCCCGTATCAAATCGTTTGTACAGATCAATAACCCTCATCCCCTGCTTCGATAAGTGAGTGAAGAAGATTTTCAGGGGGTTCGCCGTCATTTCATTATTTCTCTTTGGCTTCTGTTTACTACTGCGTCCCAGTATAACAGCACCGTGTCTCACTTTCAAACCCCGGTCTTGGTGCAAGTGCGTGGCAAGAGCTTGGAAATTAACGGAAACTGGTATATCCTAGAACAAGTAAGATGGAACGTGTTAATCCTGAAAAACTTTTAAAAAGCAATAGTGGAAACTACAGAGCCATTGTTACAGCACATTAAATCCACATACATTTTATTAGAAACAAACAAACATACGAAAATAAAGATTTACAAAATGCAGTTTGAAATAGGCGCATTGTCCACGGCACGTTTTAAATATTTTTCTACATTTAAATCCAATGAGCGCCTTCGTATGTAAGAACAGCTGTTGCACACTGGGGTCCTATACTACCTTGAAATCGAGTTCTCGGAGAGGCATGTCAGACACCCGTGCCATCTGCAGCAACGAAAACGCCATTTCACTACTAAATGGGTTGGCTCCAATCTGAAAGTTACACATCCATGTAAGGGGATAACGCAATATACATGCATGTAGGTGTGCATGTCCTTGTTTTAATTTTTACACCACTCAATATAAAACAGTTAATCCAAATGTGTGTTTAGCTCTAATAATGTATTTCATTTCATATGATAATAATACTGGTGGTAGACAACTCCACTATTGCCTTCCACCTGCTGCATCCAAATAGGGCGTCTACAAATTACGGTACATTTTTTTTTTTTTTTTTTTTTTTTTTAAGATAAAGTAGGGATTAACCATCACTGAAAAGCACAAGGTAAAAAATGGTACCAGTACACGTATGACCAGTATCAAACGTAATGTAATAAAAAAGACTTACCTTTAAGACTTGCAAGCAATCATTATGTTGTAGACCTTTGAGTAAAACTCCCATATCTTCGGTTGACAGGCGGTTGTTGGCAACATCTAGGTGCTCCAATGTCCTGTTTGAAGCTAGCGCATGCGCAAGGTACTGTCCTCCTTCCCTACCAAGACCATTCCAGGAGAGGTTTAACTTGCGAAGGCCTACGTTTTCCTAAGGCATGGAAAATTGTATAGTGATTAATTTTGAGTTATCATTTTGAAAATTACAATGAAGTAGGATGATAACCCAATCATATTAAACAACATTCTTATTGGGGATATTTCTCTGGTCATTTTGTGATACATGTACTCGTGTTTAGACTTATTATTAGTTAGTCGTATCATATTAAAAGTAAATCACATCTTGGGGCCTTATTCAATATCCGTCGGAAATATACAGAAACAAATAAAGGCCTCTTTCAAGATCAGCGGTAAAATTACAGCTGATATCCAACGAATTCACGATGAAGTAGAACTAAGTGGGGAAATCACGCTGGCAGTCCAAATGATCATTTGATTGACATGATTTGTGTAATGTTTTGCTATTCACTGTTGTTTGCATTAGGAATAAATAAATTGATTTTCGATTTGGAAAATATGCAAAGCTCTCAGGGCAGTCTTTGTTAGGGTAGGAGTTGCAGATACTGCAGTTAATCGTATTTTAATCTCTCCAAATCTTTTAAAAACATACCTGCAATCCTCTACATATTCCAACACCACCCTTTCCTCGTAAATGATTCCAACTTAAATCCAACGTCTGCAGCTTATCGTTTAGAGCTGTAAGAAGTGCCAAAATAATCGCATCAGCTTTATTCAAACATGAACAAATCAGTGAACTGGGAAGAACGTACAGTAATCTTGCAAATATTTGTGCGCTAGTCATTTGATTCAAGTCCCAATTTACGTAGTGTGAAATTGAACACTGAAATAAATTACATTTGCACCTGCATCCGTTTAAAATTTTCATGGGCTTTTATAAACATTAGCGTTATTTAAATTTGTTCTTAAGCCTATATAAAGTAAAATTTATTTAAGTGAATAAACATAATATACTGGCATTAAAAAAATCAATTAACAGAAGAATACAAGAGGGATGCTTACCAATAGCCTTTCCTATTGTTATGCCGCCTTGTTCTCTAAACTGATTGTTTGATATGTTAAGTTCTTGGAGCGTACATTTACCCTACAAAGTGGAGAACAGAGCATCAGGCAACATCAAAATCAATAAAAGAACTTAATAAAGAAATCAGAAAACTTCTTTCATTAAATTACTTACCCTCTGCTCCATATTGCCAATATGTTAACATAAAAAAGAGAAGGAGAAATAGAAAAAGAATGAAGAGGGGACAGGACAAGAAGAGCAATGAAAGTATGATGAACATAACAAAAATGGCAAGAAAGGATAATAAGTTGTAGAGTGTGAAAATAATGCTCATGACTTTACCAAAGTCGTTCTACATGTAAGAGAAAAATGATATTTGTACGTACAAATGCTATCTCTTTAAACTATTTGTGCATTTAAATTAACGGACGCACCCGCAGAATTCCGGCAATGTGGCAGGCATCTTGATCCCCAAGCTGATTATCTGCAAAATGAGATTTACGGTACTTGTATTACCACACGGAGATAAATTTGATAAATTTTTCTCGTTTGATCTTATCTCCCTTATTAAACAATCGCGTTCTCAAGTAGTGTTGCTTTATATCAACAGAGACAGGAGAGCGATAATAAGTATAATCTTAAATTCCTCTTCAGTGGCGTGGGTGTAGAGCCTAAATATAAGTTAAACAAAGGCCAGTAATCCTGGGCAAAGTAAATGTCCAATTCATCTTTCAATATGGCGTATGACCAAGACAACGACCGTTTGCAGTGGCATGCATGGACAGTGAAACGACATGTCAGGGGCTTTGCAAAAATATCTTAATACTTGTAAAGCAGTCTCTCTCTGCAGAGTTTACTCCGTACTTCTTAAGCAGTTAAGGAAGAATTTAACATGGTTTGTTGCTAGCTAGACTGTTAATTCATTTTAGGAGAATGTTTTGGTTTAAGTTTCTTCAAAATAAATACATAAAACATATCCATCGGTAAGATAAAATAAAATTAAGTGTTTCAATAAACCACAATTTTCGAAGTTAATTGCGTAAAGTGCTTGAAATGAATACTCACGAGAAAGATTTAGCGTCCTTAACTTGCTATGGCTTTTGACTGCGTCACAAATTGCCTTAGCTCCTTCTGACCGGATATCGTTACTGCTGAGAACCTGATAAAAAGTGTATGAAAATCATGGTTTCGATTTCATGACAAACGAAAAATAAATGATAAATAAATAAGAAAATAGATAAAAGTACATGATTTTTAAAAACTATGATTTGAACAGAGACCCTTCGTGCCCTCTAACCAATGAGAGAGGAAAAAAGTTTCCAAAGAAAGGTGAAAATTGCATATTTATCCATTTCTACTTTAATATAATATAATATAATATAATATAATATAATATAATATAATATAATATAATATAATATAATATAATATAATTATCTCTGCGGAAAATACCATCGTTAAATAGACGTTATACGTTGCTTTTAGTTTTCCGATTAGATTCAAGTATAAATCAATATCCCTTTTACAACGGATGAAAGGAGCACGCTTAAACTCAATTTAACACCTAGCTCCACCTTTCATCCACTTTCAATGACAATAAAAGGGCGTGCTTCCCAGCAAGTTCAAATAATAGGTGGTGTATCTATTACCTCTCTAAGTAGCAAACACTGTTTGTTTTAAGCCATTAAGTAATTTCAGCAACCTCATTTCTACCCACGAGTTCGAATAAAATTTTTGATTGGGTAGTACATAATATAAAGCAAGAAAATGTTAACATATCACTCAACATTAACATGTTTAAAATCAATTTATCAAAATAATTGTAATGTCCTGTTCATAAATATGTCCGTATCTCATTAATCCTAGAAAATGTAATGCGACAGCAATTTAAAAGTTAATTTATGATATGCCATATTGCATATCTTTTGAACATTTGAATTTTTGTGGAAAATCAAGAAAATCGCGCACCAGTTATGTTCAACATCGCAAATATTTACGGTTTGTGTAAACATTGCACCTCAAAAGCCTTGCTCGACCGATTAAAAAAAAACAATCTTTAACATTATCCTTACATATAACATTACAATGAATATAAATCATACATGGACAAAAATAGGCGCTGTGTCTTAAAAGGTTTGCTTTATTGAATAATGCCAATTTGTGGAACTGCTGATATTATACAATAGGTTAAAATAATTATAGGCCTATAGAGGGAATATTTTGTATCTGTCTTACCAGTTCAGTGATGTAGTTATTCTCAAGCATGAGTTCAGCTATGGCTACAGCACCTTTGACACCTAGATCATTCTCTGCTGCATTTAAGCGGGTAACGCGTACATTATTCTGCACAAAAAATAACAAAGAACAGAATCATTTTACTACTTGAGAACTTTGAGAGAAATCGTCTTGATTGGCAATTCGATGCAATACCATATGAGAATGGATTTTTAAAAAGCATCGCAAAATATAGAAATAACATTTATCTTTTTATTTCATATACCTTTTGCAAGTTTTAAATCAAAATATACTGCGGCAGAAGTACATGAAGTAATTTTCTATTCTATCAAATTTCTTACCACGAGAGATATCACCACGCTTTTCATGCCTCTCGGTCCCAGGGAGTATCTCTGTAGTTCCATGGCGGGCCCCATCATATTACGAATCACCTGTGATACTGGTATCACCCGCAGGAGTTGGCATGCTTCCGTGTACATTTTTGTATATTGTTTTTCTTCTTGGGTTTCCTTTAAGTGTTTTTTGTCATTGTGTTGTATGCCTGAAATATATGTATTGGAACTTATCTGTCATTGTCAATTTCTAACACAAATTGTAGGCATATCCTTGGGACGCCAAATTTGAAAACCTGTCATCGTTATTTTTTCACCCTATTTTATAGACATTAAAATACGCATTAAAAAATCCACTAAAGGACCAGGAATTTCAATGTATCTCAGCCGTTTAAACCTGATTTTACCCTTAACGCACAACTTAAATAATAGATACAACACAGTATGTGGGTACAACAGCTGACTTGTTTAACCGTATTCCAGTGGCTGAGGGTTATATTTGCAATATGATTATGGGGAGACAGGACGTGATGGCGGCAAAGGTCAGATGATATATATTAAAAAGGTAGATGGTAATTTTCATTGAATGTTGACGGCACTGGATAATGTATTATCAAGTTGGCTCGTTGGTCTAGGGGTATGATTCTCGCTTAGGGTGCGAGAGGTCCCGGGTTCAACTCCCGGACGAGCCCTCCATACGTTTTACATTTTTCGCTTACGGTGGAGTGTAGCAATAATAAAAATGACCTTTGAGAATTTTGCTATCCTTAACGGCATTCTGTTGATGTTATATATTTTGTTGCAGTTGGACAGCATTTATATTATTTTCATATGATAAGATACCTTTTATATCCGAAATATCAAGAGTGGTGTCCGCAAATGTAAGCATGCGCGTAAATTCTCGAGCTAGAGTGGGTACACTCGCATTTTCACTAATTGATAGATCCTGATTACTTAGCGCCAATGTGTGACATGATTCTTCTTTCTGCGTCTCGCTTGGATCTTTTGGATCTTTTTGGCAACTGGTAGAAGACAGTTCAATAGACTGTTGTGAAACTAGTCTTTCCAATTCAGACTCAAATTTATCCTCACTATGCGGCTCATTGTCGTTCCAGTCATGACCTGCTCTATTGAAAGATTTTTCCAGTTTTCTATCGCTGTATGACTGGGAAGTTTTTCTTTCTTTGTTGGAGATCTTAGTGGTGGCACGACTGAGGAATAAGGTAGTTGTGCGACTGCCCACGGCTCCAGAATGAATCTTAGAATACACATGATGACGGCTTTCCAGTGGGTCTTCATTAAATGCCTTTTTCTGCGATATGCCAGTATCCCCCCTCGTTAAATTCTGTGAGAGGGTGGTCGATGTTTTTCCATAGGATCGATTCAAAGGAGAGTCACCCATCGTCATATGCATAATGTTTTACAGAATGTTACGATTCTTTTCTATCCAGCGTATGTTGTGAAAGGAATGTAGGACGGCAGCTCATAATGGCTATTATGGCAAAGCTCTGGAAAAAAGAAAGAAAACAACACTAGTATGTACGTATCTAACGAATTAGAGCAAAACGGATCAAATAGCTCTTGTGGTGCTATTCACGTGTGTTTATAATGCAGTTATTCGACAAGATAAGTCCCCCTATTGTGCAAACATAAACGTTATTTGAGATGACACTCCTTTACCTAATCCCCATATAAAAGACCAATTGTGCATGACTGTGCATTTTTTCCAGCCGAGACACTTCTTCTCAATTTACTGAAATCGTTTCTGTTTGTCATAACGTCAGATTATGATTGATCGAAATGCGTGGCACCTAAAGCCTTTCAGAAAATATTAGTTCTTAACCCGAGAAGGCTGGTTACATTTGCAACAAGAACGCGATTAAAGTTTTGGATGCGATGTGTATATATTTGTATAATTTGATCGTATAAAGCCAACGTTAATCAACTGTTGTCGTTCCAGTGTCGTTGTGTATTTGATACGAACATACTGGTACAGAAGAGCGTTTATACCTTATAGGCGGTCAGTTGTTAGGTAGGTCATAACGATGGTCTCTTCTCGGATTTTCTTCTGACAGACCACGACCTTAACAGTTGTCATACAGATTTTCCTTAAATCGAAATGAAATGCGCGCTCGCGCGCGCGCGTGTGTTCACCATGCACTTAGACCCGTACACTGGACAAAATGTTTTGTACACAAGAGATAATGTACATGAAAATGACCAGTTATCTTCACGCAACAAGATAGGACGTTTACTGTCTCCATCAGTCCTGTCATATCATTGATAGAAAGACGTTAAATGAGGTCCCAGAAAAATGTGGAAAAAAGATAATAAAAGGACGTCATGAAATATAAATATCCATCGCTACTTTCAATGAGTACACAAATAATGCACATTCTTGTAGATACCCGACAGATGTTGTAATTTGGACATTAAAATCCTTAGTGCCACAACATTCAGTTATATCATAACAAACGCATAATCTATATTATGGACATTGTTGACACCTAATGACCGCTAATGCATTCTCTTGAAATCATGTTTGTAAACTGCGATGTATTTGTGTTGACAATGACTTTGAAGTATTGAAATGTGATTTCGAAAATTCGAATTAAACACATCAAATGAATCGCTGGTCCATACACTGACCGTTGAACGAGGAAACCCTTCTAGTCCAGCCTACACTAAAATGTCTTCTTCCTTTTCCACGGACAGATGTTAAAATTATTCCGTGTTTTTCATTCTAGAGGTACATGTAATTGTCAGCACCTCCGTTCAGTATTTGGGATAATTGAAAACTGGTCTCGTGCCGCGTGATCTTTTACAGAACTGAAATTTACGAATTGAAGGAGTTTATCTGAATAAGACACATTTGTTTCACAAATGCGACAGTATTGTTCAGAGAGATGGCTTAAAGGGAATTTCGTGAAAAGAGTTCTTTTTCAGTTCTTTCGCAGTCATTTCTTATGAACGGTCGATGATGTCCACTTAATGACGATCGATATCCCATTCATTTTTTCCAGACAAAAGAAAGCGTAAAAACAACGAGTAGGTCTTATGATAAAGGCATATTGAACTAGACATTCGCCGTATCCAGGATAACGCCATTTACAGATGAAAGTTAGCAGGTCCGTCTTTCCTCTGTCGCTAAGGAGAAAGACTAATCAATGATTGTTTCTTTTGTAATGAAGAACAACGTTCCCAGGAAAAATGAAATCTTCATATGAAATTATTTAGAATAACGAGTTAGTTTTTTTTTCTTTCGGGTTATGGGCTTTGGTTGTTTTAATCAAATGTTCTCTACAGTTATCTTTTGCAACTTCTTTAAATTTCTGATCTTAAAAGTGTTTTTTTTTAATACCAGAAAATGTGGAAGAAACAATAAAAAATTGTCTCAAACTAACAACAAAAAATTGAAGCTAAATTTACATGTTTGTGAATGGCACTTATTTGATATATCATATCTGTTTTATTTGCGCTCCACTTTATCTAAGGAGCCTGATAAGACGTATTATATTGAGCCTGACGATGAGAACACGGCTCATGGCAGGAAACTGTCTGGAAATGACCAAAAGAGTAAAACTGGTTTGAACTTAGACTAAAAATTAATAGACTGTCATAAAAAGAGCTTGAGAAAGTACTAATAACTATGAACAGCTACTGGGCCATGAAGTCATACACAGGGCATTAAATACTATAGTAGGACAAAATTAAAAGAATAGGTTTGTCGAGTATCGAAATGTAAATGCCAGACACGCTCGATAACGCTGTTCCTGAGAGCATAGGAAACAATTCACTTCACAAATCACGTTTTACGCATCAATCCAGTTACCACAATGACACTATTCTTAAGACTAAGCTAATCAATGTTTTATGTCAATATTTATGCCGCCTATAAATTGTACAATAACTTCGTCTCTAACTTCTGTTGGCAGTAATGTGTTAATTTGCTGATATTTGCTCGTAGTTTGTCACTGTGAGCATAAACTACTGCATGCACGGAGTTCTTGTGTTATAAAAAGTAGAGCATAGCAACATCAAAACAATTTAGCATGCAAGTGTAAATTATTTACGCTGCTACATCACACCCAGTCTATTCGATGGACCGTGAGTTTATACCATTCAAAGGTTGTAGCTTGTTGAGAGAGAAATAAATCAAAATACCAGGTTCATCATTCCAAGCCCATGTACATTTACCCCCTAGAGTGTTTTTAAGGGAACTCAAAGTTTTCAGCCTGCCAAGTACATAAAATGGAGCTATCTCTTAAGGTTTTAAATTAAAATTTTAAAGAAATGAGAACTAAGTGGCATTCAAGAGAAATATACCAGTGCTTCCCTCTCTCTGGTCTTACTTAAGACCTAATATGAAAAGAAATATTATCATATTACCTTTGCTCGTGTAATGATGGAAATTGCCGATGATACATGTACAAGTGCATGGTTGCTGACACCGTGGGATAACCAGGACTGAAAATCCAAACGCTGACAAAGCTTAAATCCAATTATATGTTATAGAACACAATAAGCGATGTTTGTGTGCGTAGCGTATTTCATTCTTTTGCCGGTGTTAGATCCATTTTTGCCCCCTTCCTGCGACCACGATTATCCAAAGAAATGACAGCTTAAGAGGCGTCTGTGTAACCATGGCGGTCGTATTGGTTAAATATTAGTGTAATATTTCATCTCCGGCTGAAAGATTATACCCGTATTGAAGTAAAGATTAAACACGTAGCCTAGGCTATCTAGGTCCTGTATCGTATGTCACAGGGGGATAAATGTCGCCCTGACGATGAAATTAGGCTTCCGAGTCAACACGATAGACTCATGCGTTCACAGATTAACTTCTGTTTACCGCGTGGACCTCGGGTTTCATATGGGAACGTTAAGGTATTAGATTACGCGGTGCGTTCATTGAGAGCGCTAATAGTAAAAACACATAAAGTTTTTCATGACTAAATGTCGTCATACATTCTCATACGATTTATTCCGCCTTTTTGTGTTCTGGGGTTAATCGACCAGAATTAAAACGACAACAAACCGTCCCTCATGTCGTAAGGTCAACAACTATAATGGCCCTGCTAAAGGTTACCGGTTTAAATCTTACTTCACCTCGTTTCTATATGTTCAGCTGTTCAGATATACATGTAGCAGTACATGTACGAAAACGCGAAACAAATGAGAGAGAGAATAAAAAACAAGACTCCCTATTTTTCTTTTTCCTTTACAGACTTCTTCTTTTTATCGCTGCCGTCATGACATACAGCTATATAGTTCTTCCGAAGAACTATATATATTGAGTGTAAGCAATTGGCCCTCAAAAAGAATGCCAGTACACGTAGTCAATAACACTGACGTAACCAAGATAATAAGGGATCAAAAATTAAATTGATACAAAGGAAAATTGGGAAAACTGTGTTTCTGTACAGGTTTGCCTGTAATGGTATTTCGCGTGTTTTACAGCGCTGCGTATAGGCCTATATATATGTTTGGCATCAGCTTGCCTTGGGAAAGTTTGGTTTGTAGGAAGGTGGGGCATGTACAAACACGTACGCTAAGTTAAAAACTGTTGGTGTTTTTTTTTTAATATATAATTTTACCGTGACTATTGGCAGAAGCAATCTTGTAAAGCAGGGAAAACGCGAAATGGGATATTTTAAAATCAGCAATTTATGTTCCCGTGGCGTTTTCTTTGGTAGAATGTGACGTGTTCTCCCCACTGGGATTCATATAGATGTAGCAAAGTAGGTTTAATGAGCAATGTTTGGGGGGGGGGGGGGGGGGGGGAGAATGAAGAAGAAAATAAATCAATTTCTTGAATTAACAACCATACTCGATGCGTTTTCTCACGGAAGTACATGTATACAGGTACAAGGGTATCTATAGAGGGCCCATGACCTTTCATTTATTTTACAGACAAAGAAAACAGCTTAATTACTTGTACTCAGGTCAATGTACCGCCAAGGCCGCCTATATTCACCGATGTTATTATTAATTATTATTTTATGCACCAGGATGTAAACTACTGGCGAAAATGTACAAATACATAGGTAGGCCTATATATAGGAAGGTTATCTGCTGAAAGTTAAGACCACTATTTGTCCCGTGGGATGAGGAGGAGGTTAGCCATAAGTCTTTCTGGTTTCTGGTACTCAAACTACTCAACCGATTAAGGTTTTTTTCATTAATGCATCATGGTAGACTAATAAGTATGGTATTCTTAAGTAAGTGTGGCTTTTATATTCATTTACCGATCAAGGTGATAGCCAGATGTTAATTTGGCGTCCAGAATGAATTGAACAAATAAATTGACGATGATTTAACCCCAACCCAAATGTGTTCACCATAAGAAATGCTCATTGCACTTTAAGCAAACACAAAGACACAATTGTGTACATAAAAAGTTCGGCAACAAAAAGTTTCAAAAAGGGGTATATGTTGCAAATTTTACAGAACAGAAACAAAACAGGTTTCGAGTTGTCTAGGGTTGGCTCTTCGTGGTTTTTGAGGCCTTTTGCAAATCGGTGCATTATGCCCTCCCATTTTGGCACTGGAGACCTCAGTAAATAAACGTGGCCTGACGGACTGCTGCTACAGAATGCACAGTTTTAAGTTGTGCTGGTTAAAAAATGTTCTTTAAGATTAGCATTCTGGTACTGTCTGTATCTGTCGTCGTTTATTATGTATATTTCCATCATCAGATAAAGGAAAGTGAGGAAGGAGTCACCGATTTCCTGTCTGGAGAAGAAGATGAAGTAGTCGAAATAAATGCGACGCAAGAGTCTGCCCAGGAAGATGATATTGCTGGGTATGCATGCGTTGGCACGTCAGTTCTCACTGGATATATTTAAAAAGTGTAACTGATAATTTTCTAGTAATAGTTTTCTAGTTTTCGGTACTAGTAACATTTAGTTTGTCCAGGGATGATTTTTCCCCCTAAATTTGTTCTGAATTTTCATATAATTGGCGAAATGAAATCCGATGAAAGTCCAAGGGAGTGTTTGTGACTGTTTGATTTATAATGATGAAAGAAGTCAACGTTAAATACATTAAAGTTAGACAACGCATGAAAAGTAAGTCCCCTGAGAAAATGTTCAAATGTTGCAACTTTTAGCAGGTGTAATTATTGCCATGTCGTTTTAAGCCTCCCCTGATGTGAAAATAATCCTACACACAAATGCTTAAATACCAGATAGATGATTGATGCTGCTGCAGGTTTTGGGTCATACCATCATGTCATTAATTATTTCAAAATGTGGCAAAATACAAGTATATGATTATTTTTTCTAACCAAGCTAAAGTACAGTACCTGGTCAACATGGGAATACTGTTTGTTTTCTTTTTTATTTTAATTTTGGTTCGACAGCCTGTTTTGGTAATAAGTATAAATAATCATAAACAATCAAAAGCAATAGAAACATTACCACAATTTTGCTTCAGACTTATCCGTATACAGTTAAGTCTCTTGCATGCATGATGTCTACGTTAAGTTCTTAAGCACACTTGTGAACATAACACTTTCATGCCATGATTTAAGCAAATTAATTTCTTTGGTGCTCATCAGTTTCTGAAGCTGTAAGTCTTTAAATTTCTCAGCATTTTTATTTTATTTTGTATTTAACTTTTTAATCATAATTTTAAGCATAGCACATTACAGATGCATAAAAGCATTACAGTTTCAAACAAAATTAAAGGTGATTTACAGGTGTGTAATAAAGTATTGTTTTAATTATTTAGAAACCCTCAAGCACCTGATGTACCAAGCATGCACCTTGCAGTAGTGGCCTGTGGGGATAGACTTGAGGAGACACTAGTCATGATCAAATCTGCTCTTATTCTCTCTAGAGATGTGATTAAGGTCCACATATTTGCAGAATATGATCTTCATCTAGGTTTCAAACAACAGGTAATGCTATGTTTACCAGTATGTACAAAATTAAGTACCAGTATATATCTTGTGTAAATGTCAGGGGCGGATTTAGGCCGTCTTCTGGGTCTTCTGGAAGACAGTCAGATTTTCAAGTTTACATTGTCAGCCATCTAATGTTTTCTGTCGGAAGACGGTCAAAAATGGAAGATGGATCAACAATGATAATTTAGAAGACTGTCAGAAAATATCTCTGGATCTGCCCCTGAATGTACCTGTATGTAGTATGCTGGTATGAGCATCGAAGTGATTTATCATAGGGTGGCTTATCATAGGGCACATGTCGCATCCCTTTGGTGGATTTTTTTTTTTTGTAAGCCTTTTCAGGGCAGTGAGTAAAGGTTAAAAAATGCCAAAACAAAGAATAGGAGGAACTCCACCACTCATGCAGGATCAGCTTTATCAGTAAAATAAATGTGAGAATATTCATATTAGACCAGTACCTCATTCCTCTAGGCAGGAGACTTTTAATCACCACCTTCACCAGTGTACATAATAATGATTTTAGATGCAGATTTTATAGGTGTACAAATTTATGTTCACAGATTTTTTTTTTCTTTACAGTTGGACAAGTGGCTAGCAGCCTCACAGGGCACATTTACTTACCAGCTTTACCCTATCACATATCCAGAAAATTACAATGTTGAAGAATGGAAGAAAGTATTCAAACCTTGTGCCACTCAGAGGTTATTTTTACCAGTAAGGTTGCAGCTCACAAAAATTTATTCTAGTAAAAACATTCAGAACTGCCGCAGCATTGACATTTTAGGCATAGAAGTATGTTAAGCAGAGTACAGTTTGTTTCATGTGTGGAAACACACCGAGTCAAATCTAATGACATTTTATGGACATATTTGCTATTTTTTTAAATATATGTAATCTATGTTTGAAAATAACTTGAAACCTTCAACTGAAACCACAAAATAAATTGTTTTCAGTATGTCATGAAAGACGTTGATTCTTTGCTGTATGTGGACACAGACATTTTATTCATGCGCCCTTTTGATGACATCTGGAGCTTTTTCAAAGAGTTTAACTCCAGCCATATAGCAGCCCTTGCACCTGAACACATGGATGGAGCAGCAGGCTGGTACAATAGATTTGCTATGCATCCATACTATGGACCTCTGGGTAGGTTGTTATTTTTACACATTTCATTTGCATTTCTGCAATTTCTTACGTATACATTTTTTAAATTTACAGACACAGATGCGTCTGTTCTTATAGCCATCACTTGTGTCTGTTATTGCTGCCGTAGCCACTGCCGCCATGCACTTTTATAGATAACATGATAAGTGGAAAACCGTTTCACCTATTGTCTTCAAACTTAAAGAACTGATGAATATTCATTAAGTACAGGTTGAATTCCAAAACATTTTTTTTTTGGTTGTCCAGCATATATGCAATACAGATAACACATTAAGTGGTAACCAGTTTGATCTGTTGTCTTCAAACTTAAAAGTGATCAAAAATATAGGTCAAGTTCGAAAACCAGCCTGATTCAATTATTTTTCTTGAAGTTATGAACTTTTTATTGAAATGTTCATTTTTCACATATTGGCACTTCAATGGTAATGTTAGAACTCCCATAGGCATGGAGCTGTATGGAAGTTACAATTTCATTTTAAAGCAATATCGCATTAAAATTGCAAAAAAGTATTTTGTGCAGTGCATCCACAAATGCTATGAAAAGAAAACTGTTTTACTTTTTATTTGTAACTTACAAGAATGATTCTTAAGATTGACATACAGCTCAAACTGGAAAACTACCTTGATTTGATTTTTTTCTTGAATTTATAGAATTTTTTTGTGAAATTTTCATTTTTCTCAATGTGGCACCTTTCAGTCTGTGAATTTGAACTCTCATGGGCCTGAAGCCGTATGCTGGTTACATATTCCTAACATCTGTGTTACCAGTTGACTCTGCATAATTAAAATTGGTGTTGATTTTGCTTTTAAGCACA